TCTCTGTCTCTGGTTGCTTTGGATGTGGATGTTCATTAAAGAACGTTTTGCTTTAATTTTTAAAATTCAGTTTAGGAGAAACGCTTCTGGTGTCTGATGTATAGAAAGGAGTCTGAATTCTTTCCCTTCCTCCCTCAAACAATAGTTTACATCCGTATGCTACTTTATATCTCTTTGTTCCTTCACATCTTTCCTTCGGGGGAGGCGGCACAACAAGTCCATTTTAGGAATAAGGAAACCGAGGCCGGCACCTTAGACCTTGGCCACTCGGTGGTGGTGACGTTTGGATTCAAATCCAGCCTCCTGCCCCTGCCTCCCGGCAGTGCCCAGTGCACCCAGAACTTGTAGGAAAGGAGATTCACTCGTTAGCTACGATGGACTCTTCTGAGATCCCTCTATATTGTTCCCTCCAAAGCTGAGTCCCACCCACGATGTTAGAAACCGGGAAAGGCTTCGTGGTCTGCGCTGAGGACCGCAGGGCGCTTCTGCATCCCCCCCGGCTGTCCTCAGGCAGGGCCACGCCTCGGCTCCCCATCTGAGGCAGAGACAGTCTCCGTGAGCAGCAGGGTGCTCAGGATTTCCCAGCTCACCCGCACCCTGAGGACGCCACCCGCATCACCGTCGCCCGCACCCTGAGGACGCCACCCGCATCGCCATCGCCCGCACCCTGAGGACACCACCCGCATCACCATCGCCCGCACCCTGAGGACGCCACCCGCATCGCCATCGCCCGCACCCTGAGGACGCCACCCGCATCGCCATCGCCCGCACCCTGAGGACGCCACCCGCATCACCGTCGCCCGCACCCTGAGGACGCCACCCGCATCACCATCGCCCGCACCCTGAGGACGCCACCCGCATCGCCATCGCCCGCACCCTGAGGACACCACCCGCATCACCATCGCCCGCACCCTGAGGACGCCACCCGCATCGCCATCGCCCGCACCCTGAGGACGCCGCCCGCATCGCCATCGCCTGCCTCAGTGGAGGGGAAGCAGGCCCCTGGGCGGAGGGGTTGGTTGCTGGCGGGCTCTGCAGGTGGGCTGTTCCGTCCCAGCAGGTGACGCCTTCGCTTTTAGAATCCCTCTGACAGTCTCACTTTTCCACTTTGCCCGTTATTCTTCCTGTTGGTGGGTTTTGATGAACCTTCTTTTTTGCCCCTGACTTGCCTGGGAGAGCAATTGCCAGACACATTGTAGGAACTTAAGACTAGATGTGGAAGGCTTAAAGGTAATTCTAGGACTGTTGGGATTGAGGCAAAAATGCCAACCGGTCTTTCTGGTTAGGTGATCTGACATCACCTGGACCAGTTTCTGCTAAGCTGATTGTTAAAAAACTGGTGAACTTGGACATCAACGTAAAGAGAGTCATAATATAGAAACATAAAGGAATGGAAAGGTGTTGGTGGTTAATTTTCTCGGTAGAAAAACTAAACTTGTGGGGGGGAATCTCATCCTCGCTGACCTACTGTCTTTATTATGGTCGAGACTCCAGCCAGGAAACAGGGTATATCTGTCGAGAGTCCTCACTGTGGGGTCCACAAAAGAGTTTAAACAAAGCTCATGCCCGAGAAGGGTTGCCCCGTTGCCTCCTTCTCCCACCACCTGAGCATCATCTGTAGTCTGTCTCCGACTGGTGAGGGATCCTTTGAATGGTCAGATTCACCCGAGCCCTCCTGAGCCTCGTGGCCAGCCTCCCATTGGAGCTTCTGGGTAGAGAGGCAGGCACCGAAGAGCCCCGCTACGTCTGCACCCTAGTACTCTGTGACTAGGGACAGACAGGAATGTCTGTGTGATCACGTGTGGTGGGAACGGTGGGCACTTGGGGCTCACCTCTCATTGGCGCCCTGAGACCACGGGGCAGTGGGCCATTGCCTTTACATGGATGGGATGTGTGTACAGTTCAGGCTCTGTCTCTCCCTCTCGGTGAGTGTCCCCCAAATCCTTTCTCCCTCAGTCCCGCCACGCCATCCAGGAGAAGGTGCTCACATGGTGAATGAGCCCGGGGCAACAGCTGCCTGGCACCACCCCCTGAATAATTAGGTAAATGAGGCACAGTGAGGTCTCAACCAGGGAGATCTTTCTTGGAGGCGGTGCTAGCCTGCTTTCTTGAATCGGGGTGTCAGGTCCTCCTCTCCCCCCTTCACTGTGCTTCAGCTTTCTGGGTCGCATTCCTCCAGTTCTGCCACCAGGAGTGACAAGGTGATTGTCCCTCATGCTGGGGAGAGGCCGTGCGTGTCCACAGCCGCAGGACCATCTCCCCAGAGCGGCAGGGACAGGAAGGGTTGAAGGAGGTGCTGCCAAGAACCCACCAGGGTTGGCGACAGAAGCAAGATCTGGCAGAGTCCAGGGGCTTTTCTTGGTCACCAGTGGTACCTACTAAGCGCTGTCATTGCGCGGATGAGGCAGGAAGGGGAGTAGAGGAGTAATGGCACAGAGGAAGTGAAGCAGAAAAACCCAACTTCCTCCCATCGAGGGGGAAATATCCATTTATTTAAATGAATTGCAAAGAAAAGAATGGAGTGCGGCATTACCCCAGCCCAGAGGTCAATGGGGCTTGAAGAGCCGTGAAGCTGCTTGGCCAGACCAGCGGCCGGACCCTCCAGCCTGTCTGCAGAAGCCCAGCTGCAGGCTCGGAGCCGCATTAGGATGCAGGAGAATTCCTCCCTGACAAATGACTCCCCGACTCAGCCCTTCTCCCCGCTTTTCCTCGTACGCCCATGTCTGGCATTGCTCATACTTTACATTCAGCACCTCTGGTTACCCAGACATTGCATGTGAAATTGTGAAATGGGAAAGCAACGGGCCATGTGACCCCATCAGTTCTGCCTGGCGCCGCGTCAGCCTCGACTTGGCCGTTCAGAGGCGGGCTGGGGGCCTGCTCTCGGAAATCGGGGGCCCCAGACGCCAACCCCAAGGGGCAGTCGGAAGGCATGCTCTTAGCACACGGGCCCGTGATGGGGGCGGATCGACAGGAATGAATGGAGCCGAAATAAGACTGGAGACGGTCACAGGGAACAAGACAATCCTGAGTGGGCCGTAGACAGCGGTGGCGCTGACTGTCGTGCGCAGAGGGACTGTGGGGCTTGACGGTGTTTTGCTAACAGGAGCCTTGAAGGCCCCGCGCTGATACCCAGCTGTGTCTGCAGTGACCCCACCGTGTTGTCATTCATGGTGCCCAGAGTCCGGGACAAGGTTCCAAAACCTTCTGATTGACGGTGATTAGAGAACGCCAGCACATTGTGGCTCAGAGGGAGCACGTGGGGCGGGGGGATGGCACCCCCCCTGGGGTGGAGCACCCGCCCTGTGCTCAGTACTTCGCATGTCAGTTCCTGTCATTCATTCAGTGCCCCACGAATAGGCACTGCGATTCCTGCTGTGCTGTGACGTGGGTAGCAGTCGGCACGATGGAGGAGGTGGGCGTGGGAGTCAGCGGGAGGGAGACCCCAGTCTGACCGTCCACAGCTTCAGTGACTGGGAACAAGTCTGTGACTTGTGTCTTCTCATCTCTAAAACCTGGACAAGTATGCCCACCCTGTGCCGTAGGGAGGATGGAGTGACATACTGTGGACAGCAGCACAGCCCCAGACACAGCAGACCCTCAGCCAGCAGCAGGTGTGCTCGTGTGATCCACGGGGGGAGAACCAAGACTGAACCCCGAGAGGAGGGCACCACCCCAACACTGCTCCACGCCGTGACCCTGGCCGCGGACCCACACTTGGGTGCTGTTCTTCCGTGATGAGACCAAGGACAGCTGGGCACGACGCAGGGCATCCGAGAGCCCCGCGCCCTGGGCATTCGTTACACGTCAGCTTTACACTCTGCAGATTGGGTCCCAGGCCTCGGTCGGCAGGGCCTCGGTCGGCAGAGGATGGCACAGCACGGATTCCTCTCTGAGCACTTCTGTGCGTCTGAAATATTTTATTTAAAGATTTACAGCCACCTCCCCGAATTGCATAACTGAGATTTCATCAGGCCTGACCCTTGTTTAGACAAAGAGGGCAAGACAGAGAGAGGTTAAAACTAACCCTGTGCAGAGCTTCGGAAATGCCACATCATATCACAGATGGTCTGCATCTGTGTCTCTCTGTCCTGCTACTTGATGTATCTCATGTCTTTGCATCCCCAGTGCCTAGCCCGGTGTCTGGCACATCGTAGGCGCTCAACACGGTTGGACTGAACTAGCAACATAGTAACAGAGAGCAGCTAAGGGAGTGAATGCTGCCCCTGCCCCAGGACCTGAGTCTCCAGAGCCGTGTATGGCCTCTGCCTGACTTCCGCTCACCTCAGGACCCTAGGGCAGGCAGTCTGTTTCCGTGACAACCACGTTCGGTCTGTGGATCGTTGGGGTTGGTCGTGAGCACTGGAGAGGTCCATGTTCCGTTTGTGAGGCGGTGGGTCAAAGGGGTGCCGCCTGCTGTCCCCTACTCTGATGTGCCTTCGTTCCGGGAAAAGTCAGCTTCTGTGCACTCACTAATGGGACCCCAGCTAACAGTTCAAACAAAGCTTTCAGCACTGTTGCTGGCCGTTAGAAAACAGGCCTTTAATGATGACACTAATAACTGTGGGTTTTTTCTCCAAGAGTCCTGATGAGCAGAGGCGAGGAGTAAATTATGGGAGCTAACTTTTATGTCCGGAGTTTATTGATCTGTGAGCTTCCCGTGAACTACACCGGCCCCAAAAGCGTGGCCGTCCACATTACCTTCCCCTCTGTGTAATTGGGCCGCCAGGGTACAGTTAATTTCCAATTTATATTAATAGGGAGACAAAGAACATTTCTATAATAAAGGACATATCAAAATAGTCTACCTGGTAATTATAAATAAATCACTTTCACACAAGCCCTGAGGCTCGTGCTGTGAATTCGTTGGGCACATCATCATAATTCAGCACATGAAGATTCCTGCTTCCATGTACACGTACGTCTCCAGAGTACACAGGGCGTCCATCATACAGCATCCAGCGTAATCCATGTCTGTCCTTCTTCCTATTTCCTAACAGGTGAAAGTCATGCTTCGAATTTGTTCCACGTTGGCCCGCGATACCTCAGAATCCAGCTCTTTCTTAAAGGTGGACCCACGGAAGAAGCAAATCACCCTGTATGACCCCCTGGCGTGTGGGGGTCAGAATGCCTTCCCAAAGAGAGGCAACCAAGTTCCTCCTAAGATGTTCGCCTTTGATGCGGTTTTCCCACAAGATGCTTCTCAGGTGGGTACACCCCCCTCGGGGCCAGGCAGAGTTCATTTGTTTCGAGGAGCTTGTACGCATTCACTAGGACCTGTGGGCTGGAGGGTGTCGCCCAGAGCACTCTGAGGGCCAGGTCCTCCCCGCACAGACGCCAGTTTGAGTAACAGTCCATTCAGCTGAACAGCTGGTGCTATACCGTGGGTAGGACCATGGTGCCGGGATTTCAACAAAATATGTCCTTGGGGAGAAGGGGGAGCAAGACAGTGGGTGCCACCCAGAAGCAGGGTGACAGTGGACAGAATTGGAAGTTTCGGGACAACTACATGGGGGTGCTGGCAACTGGTCATGAGGCTCCCACTTCTGGGTGCAAGTGTGTGAGAGGGCAGGAGGGTTCCCGGGAGCTGGGTTAGAATTGAGCAGGATCCTAGAACCTGTAGCGGGCAGGTCTACAGTCCTGGTGAGGAACTGGAGCCCCGGGCAGGGAAACTGAGGCTGACCTCCCGTCCGATAGCCTGGATCGCGGCGTGGATGAGGACGAGGGGAGGAGACAGGCTAGGGAACACTGTCGTGTCAGCTGGCTCCTGCTGTATTACAACCCACCCTGAAGTTCAGTGGCTGAAGGCGATAAGCGTTTTCTGTTGACCATGAGTCTGAGGGTCAGCTGAGCATCGCCTGCTCCCAGCTCAGCTCACTTCTGCACCTATGGTCAGCCCTGGGTTGACCAGGCAGCTCTGCTGATCTTGACGGGATGGTGCACACATTTGGGGGATGGCCCGCTCTAGGGGGTCTAGAATGGCCTTGGCCAGGTCACCTGGTCTCTCTCCATATTGTCTCTCATCACCCAGCAGGCTCTCTTGGACTTACTCTCAGGCCAATGGCATGGTCCAAGCCTGCAGGCCTCTTGAGGCCTATGTTCAAAATTGAAACACCGTCTCTTCTGCTGTGTTCTATTGGCCCAGGTTCGAGGGGTGGGGGCGAGACTCCATCTCTTGACTGGAGGAGCTGCAAAGTCACATTGCAAGGGGCATGCACACAGGGATAGGTGGAGGGTTGTGGCATTTTTGTTTCTCTGCTGTGTATACAATCTTGGGAGCTCAGGGTGCCGAGATTCCCAGACCAACGCTCCGGCAGCCAATCCCAGTAGGAACAGATGTCTGAGGGAACACCCAGTTGCACCTCTGGGGCAATTCATGTGCAGTGATTGGTGCAGCTGAATCTTCGCGTAGACGTCTGTAACCCAGGCTCTAGGTGTACAGTGGCCCACTCAGCCTGCATTTTGGCATCAGACACCTGCGCCTCCCCACCCTGCACTGTGGGCAGATGGCACACGTTAGAGGCCTCATTCATTAACAAGCTGAGCACGTGGTTCCCCAAAGGGCTTCCTAGGAAACGGCAAAGTGCTTTATGAACGAGTTCAATGGTTTGCCTCGTCGTCGCGGATTTTGTGTTTGGTGCTACCCCATGGACGCACTAATCTGAACCTGACACTGGGGCTGACACATGGCCCACAAGTAATTTAATTAATGCAGTTAAAAATTCCAAAAGTAACCCCCCCCCCCCCCAGTTGTAAGAATTCCAAAGCAAACCCTAAATTTAGTGTGGACTATTAATGCAGTTCAAGTTTATTCCCGAAAAGGAGCCGTTTTTATTGCTCGTCTTTATTGACAGTTCATCCTTGGCTGCAGAGCTCACGTGTTCACCGCTGTGAATGCACCCCCTTTGCAAGGCTGTGTGGCTGCTAACATTTCCAGCTACACTGTGAAGAAATTTCGTTTCAAGACGTTTCCTATGCATCGACCCACTTGTTCTCCCTGGAATTCGAAGGTGTAGGCAAGGGCGACATTACTGTTCTCACATCGCAGACCAGCAAACAGACTCGAAGCTGAAGTCTCTTGTTCACAGTCCCTTCCCCGAGCAGGCATCTTTTCTAGATCCTTCCCCGTGATGACCTCTCTGTGTCCTGCTCCGTGTGGTGGTGCATCCTCTATTTCCCAGCAGGGTGTCCTTGGACAGCTCACTGAATGCATCTGGGTCTGTGTCCTCATCTGTGGAGTGAAGACAGAAACAAAATGTTCCTCCTTTAAGCTGTATTCTTGAGCTGATACCCCTGAGGTGCTTAGAACATAGTCAGTGCTCAACACGTGCGAGTATTCTCACTAGTAAATCATCGTTTTTAACACTAATATCATGCTGCTGGCCATGGCCAGCCTCAGTCCTCACCCTGTGAGCCTCCAAAGCAGGGAAGCCTGATGGGGTCTGGGGGCCTCTACCTACCTGTGAAGCAGCAGCCACCTTAGTGGCCCCAGACAGTGATGAGTTTTGCTTTCTCTCGGTCTCCAAGGAAGCGAAGAAGTCCTTAGACCAGTTCTCGCTCCCCGTTGCCTTGTGAGCGGCCGCCGCGGTGAGGCCTGGCCCTGGGGAGGGGCCTTGGCGCCTTTTCCAGGACAAAACGGCGCAGACTGGGCGGCTTGTGAGCAACAGAGGCTCATTGCCCACAGTTCTGGAGGCTGGAAGTCCGGGATCAAGGTGCTGGCAAATGTGGTGTCTGACGAGACCCCCTCCTTGGCTCCCAAGCCAGGTGGGAGGGATCTTGTATAATCCCACCCGTGGGCGCTCCACCCCACGGCCTCATCAGCTCCCAAAGTGCCCACCTCCTAGTACCATCATGTCACGTTTCCGCCTGTTAATTTTGGAGGAGACAAGTTCAGTATTAGCAGGAGGGGTGGTGGGGAGGATTCAGACCTGTGGGAGAGCAGGGACCGCCTGGGGGCTCGGCCCTGCCCCTGGAGTCTGCTCAGGAAGGCTGCCTGCTCCTCTACACCCCAGAAAAGCAGCACGTGGCCTCCAGGGGCCGTTGTCCTCTCCTGACAAACACCAGGTGGACAGGTCGCTCACTGCACTTCTCAGTGGCTCCTGGGCAGGGCTCAGCCTGCCCTGTGCCAGGTGAAGCCGCTCCTGAGTCTCCTCTGTCGGGTCGTGGCACAGGTGAGTCGGTGATGCACTGTGGTCCACGCACAACCAACACCCTCCCTGCCGGCCCTGCATCTGATACAGTTGCTTCATGGCTGGGTCAGAGTGGGTGCTCAGCCTCCTAGCGCCCACCTCCCTTTATGCCCAAAGAAGGCAGAGTCCACGCTGCCTCTGGCACATTCCACCGAGATGCTGCAGCCTCGGGCTCGGCTCTCGTGCCAGGCTTGGGTTGCCTAGGTCCTGGGTGTGTGCCAGCCTGCGGTCCCCGCCCCCGTCCCTTCCCCTAGGACGTGCCCCAGCAGGGTTGCTGAGGCGACCCCTGGAACCATTCATAATTGTTGGTTGTGTGGTTTTCCCATTTTGGTTTGGGAGAAATAATTGACTTCTGAGTACTTGGGTTGGCTGCGCTGCCCCACCTGGCGCTGAATAACGACGTTCACGGCCGAGGCTGCGGTTCTCGGGTTCCCACGGGGAGGCCGCGTCCACAGCCCCCGATGCTTCCGAGCCCGACTGGCACCGAGACAGAGATGACGGCAGCGGCACATGGCGACGCGTCCTGTTCTCCTGCGGCCGCGAGGGCCTGGCGGCTGCCCAGGGGACATTCCCCGAGCTCCGAGCTGGTCCCCAACACTGACCGCGTCCTTCTAGTTGACAGAGCGCTACGCGACTGGGTGTCGATGGGGAAAGACAAAAAGCCATCAAGGGCCTGGCCCCTGTCTGAGGAGTTAATACATTTTATTTGCCAAGAATTTGTGAATGTTGACTGTCTCTGTGAGGAAAGAAAGAAAAGGCTGGTTTTGTTATTATTTATTTTATCCTCACCTGAGGACTTTTGTGTGTGTGTGTGTGTATGTGTGTGTGTGTGTGTGTGTGTGTGTGTGTATGTGTGTGTGTGTAGCTTCAGATAGAGTGGGAGGGAGAGAGGGAGGAAGAGAGAGAGAGAAACATCAACATGAGAGAGACACATCGAGTGGCTGCCACCCACATGATCCCAACCGGGGCCGGGGACAAACTGCAACTGAGGTACGTGCCTTTAGCGGGAACCGAACCCGGACTCTCTGGTCTGCGGGCCGACTCTCCAGTCGCTGAGCCAAACTGGCCAGGGCAAAAGGCTGGTTTTGAAAAGAGGAAGACAGATTCAGAAGGAGAAGGACATTGGGAGAGAAAACAGACATCACAAACCTCCTCTTATGTTAGAATTACAGTGATTCTTAAGGTCGCCAACCTGAAATGGCAGGTCCCCTTTTCCTCTGATAAACCTGGCCCATTTTACAAGGGGCGTGTGTGTGTCCGCAGAGAGCAAATGGAAAGTTAAATGCCTTGTCTGGAGGCCAGAGTAGCAGCAGGGGGAGGCGTGGGGTCCACCAGAGCACCCTGGTCCCCATTCCGGCCGGCTCCTGCCTGGTCCACAGAGACAGCCACTGAAAGGTACCGGAATGAGCAGAAGGGGTGGTTCGCAGTTACTGCGTGAAACGCTCAGGCTGCATGGAGTGGGAGGTCCCAGAGGGGGCTGAGCATCTCCAGAACCCTGTGAGAGGCTGACCCACCTGGGAATGCCGGGCCCCCGGGCCCCAGGAAAGCGACCTTACGTTTCTGTGATTAATGGTCCACTCACTGCATGTGTCTCCTCTTGTGTCTGCAGGCGGAAGTGTGTGCTGGGACCGTGGCAGAGGTGATCCAGTCTGTGGTCAACGGGGCAGACGGCTGCGTGTTCTGTTTCGGCCACGCCAAGCTGGGTCAGTGAGAGCCCTTCTTTTCCCCGCTGCTCCCTGCTCCGTGGGTTCCCAGTCACCCCATTCATTCTTCTGTGTTGTCCCAAGGTCCTCACATGGATGGAAAGGTTGCCTCCCTTAGGTGCTGAATTAAATAACTGGGAGTGATCGCTTCTGCTTTTGAAATGTAGATTTCCATTCTAAGTGAACACCCAGTCACCTAGGAGAGCCTTCAAGTTCAAGAGATGAGCAGAGGAGTAGTGGGGTGACTCCCATGTAGTCCAGGTCAGGGTCTCACCCAGAAAGCCAGCAGGGAAACATAGCTTTCCTGAGCAGGGGTGATTGGGTTGGTGATACAGCTCCGAGCAAAGCCCAGACCATGACTGGACCTGTCCGGGAAGGTCTGACAGCCTTGCTGCCCAGCCTCCAGCCGTCAGGATACGCCTGTGCTGGACACCTGGGCGGGGAGGCAGCTGGACACCCCAGCAAGATGCCTTCTTCATGCTGACCTGCGGCCATCTGCTCACCAGGTCTTACCTTACATGTTTGATAAGTTAGGAATTTGGGGGAGCTCCCCAAAGTGTTCCTTGCCTGAGAGGCCACCAGAAGCCCTGGAGATGATGGGGGCAAGGTCCAGGCCAGGACAGAAAGCCCTTGTCAACCCACTGACCCTCGGTCTTCCCGCCCCTCCCTTCTGGTCTTCATCTCCGATCAAAGCAGTGATCCAGATTTTAGTACAAAAATATACACAGCCTTGAACTTGAGAAAGGATTAAAGTGTAAGAATGTGGATTTAATCTGGGGGCAGATGATAAAAAGCACCGTAATAGTGATGGAAGGTGCCTCCTTCCCACTTCATGTAAAATGCAGAACCGGTAGCTTGGGACATTTGGGGTCCTCCTGGAGGTCCGCTGTGACTTGCCGTGGCTCTCAGAGTCTTTATTGTAGCCCTTGACTCAGAAATACTAGGGAATGTCTCTTTGTTACTGTTGTCAGACGCTGACTATTTCACTCACTTTTCATTCCCTCTCTTCCCTCCCCTCCCCCCTCCATGCCTTTCTCCTGCTTCCTCGGCCTCTAGTCCTCAGACTAGCAAGTGATGCCCGGACACTCAAACGGTCCTTTCTTCCCTTGTCCCCCAGGAAAGTCCTACACCATGATCGGGAAGGACGATTCCATGCAGAACCTGGGCATCATCCCCTGTGCCATCTCCTGGCTCTTCAAGCTGATAACTGAACGGAAAGAGAAGACTGGAGCCCGTTTCTCGGTCCGGATCTCAGCCGTGGAAGTGTGGGGCAAGGAGGAGAACCTGCGAGACCTGCTGTCCGAGGTGGCCACGGGCAGCCTGCAGGACGGCCAGTCCCCGGGCGTGTACCTGTGCGAGGACCCCATCTGCGGCACGCAGGTGATTGCTGCTGGAGCGTGGCCGCTCCGAGGGGCTCACCCCACCTCTGAGGCCGGGGCAGCTCAGCCGGAGGCACGAGTGTTTACTTTAGAGTGGACTGGGACTTTACGGCCGCCAGCTGCAGGACCATCTGCTCACCCAACCTAAATATTTGTACCTCGAATCTAATTGACAATGAGCAGGAATCATTATTGCAGCATTTCAAGGAAATTGAATTTACTTTTTTTATTCACCTTTTGTGGGGGGGAGTGGGGGAGGACCACCTTTCTTTTGTTTAACAACAAACCGAAATATTTACAGCGCCACACAAATAGCTACAGCCATGGCCGGGGCTGATAAACCAGGTCCCTGGCACTGCTGTGGGCGACCAGCGGCGCCGGGGAAACTCACAGCCGCCTTCTGACGGGAACCGTGGTGTGACTGCTAGGACTCGGGAAGCCAAGAGAAGCCCCGTTCGCTGTTTTAGGGTCTCACTCCTGTTTCCAGTGCGTCTCGCCTGCTGTTTGACTGTGGGTGTCGGCACGGCTCGGGAGCAGCCTGGCTCACATCCGAAACAGTCACTTCCTCCAGCCTCGGGCAGTAGGCCCTTCTCTTGTCTAGCCAATGCCTCCTTTTTCAGATAGGTGTTCAGTTTGTACCCGCCTCATCCCAAGGGGGATTGTTTCCACAGGTGAGGGTCCCCCCAGCTTCTGACATCTGACTGTGTACTTCCCCCAGCTCAGATCCTTCCATTTCCATCATGGACCCTCCACTCCTAACCTCCTCGAGATTTGCAAGGCCCTACGTGTACCTCTCCAGCATCCTCTCTTACAATCTCCTCTCCTAGCCACTTCTCTTAAATTACCTAAGAAAGCAGTGCCCAGCGAACTTCAGTGTGCATCGGACCACTGGGGATCCGTCTAGTTAAAATGAAGACTCTGGTTCAGTAGGTCTGGGTGGGAGCCCTTGGATACTCATTTCTAACAAACTTCCCAACTGACCACACTTTCTGTAGCAAAGCTCTAAGGCACAACCATGCTCCCTCTTACCTCTGGCCCTTTGCACATTCTATTCCTTGTGCTTGGAATACTCCTCTTCCCTCTGGCTCTTCATCTGCTAACTCCTTATCCTTTAGGTCTCAGCTAGATGTCACTTCCTCCAGGAAGTCCTCTTAGATGTTTCTCCTGAGGTCACTGGAACACCCACAGCAGTTATACTGTGATGGCTTGGTTAGTCTGGGCAACTCCCAAAGAGTGGGTACCGTGTCTGACTAATATTGGCTGTTCATAGTTTTTTTTTTTTTGTTTTTTTTTTGTTTTTTTTTTTTTTTTTTATCCTCACCTGAGGACATTTTTCCATTTTTTGTTCAGGTAGAGTGGGAGGGGGAGAGAGGAAGAGAGAGAGAAACATCGATGTGAAAGGGACACATCGAGTGGCTGCCACCCGCACGACCAACCAGGGCCGGGGACAAACTGCAACCGAGGTACGTGCCCTTAGCGGGAACCGAACCCGGGTCTCTCGGGACCGCAGGCCGATGCTCTAACCGCTGAGCCAAACCGGCCAGGGCTGTTCATAGTTTTAACAGATGCATCCGATACCATTTGGATGCGGAACCTAATTATAATACAAACTAGTTGGTTGTGAAAACCTCAATCCAGTGGCTCTCGAACTTTAGTCTTTATCAGAGTCACCTGGAGGACATGTGAAAGCAGATGACTGGGCATCACCTCTAGAATTTCTAATTCAGTGGTCCTTGGGTAGAACTTCACAATGTGCATTTCTAGCAAGTTTCCATGTGATGCTGCTGGTCCGGGGACCACACTTTGAGAACCACTGGTCTGAAGTAGGAGGTGTGCTCAGATGGTATTGACACAGCACCTGTGATGGGAACCAGTGTCCCCCACCCACTACTCCTGCTCCAAGAACTACCTGGACACTAGATATGCTGTGACCTCCATTCACTTCTCCGTGAATGAAGTTCCATGCAGGAGAAAGACCAGGTTAACCGAAGGCAAAGAACAGGAAGAGACCAACATCTTCTTTATTTTAACTCTTCTTCTTGAAAAATCTTAGACATGCTTTAGTTCACTTATCAGCCACACTGAGTACAAAACAGGAACACAACAGAATCTCTCTTTGAAGTCTGGGGATTTTTATGGTCTCAGATTCCAAATGTCAGCTCTCACAGTTCAGAATTATAGGAATAGTTAAAATCAGAGTAGGAAATTTTCAGAATGTGTACTGACCCTAATACATATACTGCAGATCATGTCTTTGAATAAATCAGAAATAATAAAGTTCCTCTTCTCTCCTCAGGAAGGGAGGGCAAAGGAAACTCTGACAGTACTGTTCCGATTGAGGTTGACTGTGATTGCCAATGGATCTGAACAGTTTAGACTCGTCCACGATGCTTTCTTTAATCAATGAATGAGGATGCACACGAATTTAGTACCTAGAGATAAAAATAAATATCCCTTAGCCCTGGCCGGTTTGGCTTAGCGGTTGGAGCGTCGGCCTGCGGTACAGAGAGACCCGGGTTCGGTTCCCGCTAAGGGCACGTACCTCGGTTGCAGTTTGTCCCCGGCCCTGGTTGGTCGTGCGGGTGGCAGCCACTCGATGTGTCCCTTTCACATCGATGTTTCTCTCTCTCTCTCTCCCTTCCTCTCCCTCTCACTCTATCTGAACAAAAAATGGAAAAATGTCCTCAGGTGAGGATTAAAAATAATGATAAAAAATAAAAATAAATAAATAAATATTCCTTAAGTGATATAGATGAGACTTTTAAGTATCTTGGGTGTTTTCATGCATCTTTGACACGTACTTCCTGCTTATAGCTATGCTGGTCAAGGTGGTCTAAAATTGGCTTTAGTTAAATAGCTGAAAATGTTGAGAGCTCAGTTGAACCTGACCAAGTTCTTCTACACCTCCGGGATGCTGGTGCTGCCCATGAAAACACATTTCGCAGCCCACCTGTGTGCAGCCATCTGGTCTTCAAATCCGGATGCAGTCCCCTCCCTCTGTTTTCGTAGGTGAACGGATTGCCCAGCATCAGACCAGTCCTCTGCTCTCATGCAGATGCATCCGCTCGCTTTTCACACCCGCTATTTACAGGTCCATTTACACTGTGAAGGGGGAGGGGAGAGGTGTGTCATCCAACGCAGTGCCCAGTAGGAGTCTTGGAAGTGAACAGACAAGCGGAGAACCGCAGGGAGCGCAGGACCATGCGCTGGAAGGACGCCGGCCTGGGGGGGCCGGGAGCCGCACTGAGCACCCGGGCGGGGGGCGGGGGGCAGGAGGCCCCCCAGCCCGTGGCCCTAGCTCTTGCTCTGTCTTCCAGCTGCAGAACCAGAGCGAGCTGCGGGCGCCCACGGCGGAGAAGGCCGCCTTCTTCCTGGACGCGGCCATCGCGTCGCGCCGGGGCAGCCAGCAGGACTGTGACGAGGACGACCTCCGCAACTCGCACATGCTGTTCACCCTGCACATCTACCAGTACCGCATGGAGAAGAGCGGCAAGGGCGGAAGTAAGTCCCGCAGCCGCGGGGGGGCGGGGGGGGGCTGGCCCGGGGGCGCCCCTGGGTCTGCGCGCAGCTGCTGCTGACCTGTGCCTCGAGGGCAGGGCTGAGTCTGGCTGCCGGAGGGACGGACGGACGGACGCACCCTCCAGCTGGCGGAGCGGGAAGGGTGGGTTCTGGCCAGATGGTTTCCGAAGGTGGTTGCCGTTGAGTGGGAGTTAAAAAGGCAGAAGAACTGCTTAGGGGTATCTTTTTCTCCCCAAACCTAAAAGGTGTCCCTCATAAAAAACCAACTGGCACCCACCAAAGCACCCCGGCAATGTGTCATGTGTCATTAGCTCGGATCCTCTGTATGGACCCAAAAGAAACGAGGTCACGCTGCAGTAGCCTGTAACTCAGACGTCTGGAGAACGTACCAGGCCCCGCTGCCTCCCGCCCTGGCCAGGGCATGCCCACCGGAGCCGTTTCTCTAAACCCCCAGACCCAGGGCCTGGGGCGCTGCACAGGAGCCCCGCTCTGTGGCTAGACAGGCCCCTCTTGTTTCCAAAGCTCACTGACCTTGGGCCCTGGTCTGGCCTCTGACTGCAAGTGTACCTGTGCTCAGCAGCTGGTGCCAGGTGGGATCTTGCCCCGCGGGCAGGAGGTTCGTTGCCCCCACTGGGCTTTCTAAGGCAGGCTGAGGGCCAGTCTGGCTGGCTGGGCAGCGGCTCTCACGGTCTCTCAGTGCCCAGCTCTGTCGGGCTTTAAGACCCAGGCCGCTGGCCCCCAGTGCTTTCTGAACGATTGTCTCAAGGGTGCTGGGAGCCAAAAAAACAAACCGAAAACCCTGACTGAGGAGAACTGGGGGCGGGAAACTGTGAAGCTGATTGACGAACACAGAGGCAAGTGACTAGTCCGATGGGAGGCGGGGTCTGGAATCAAGCCTCCACCTGGGACCTGGGGATGGGCTCCCCAACTTCTCCCTAGTCTCTCTGTTGCCTGGAGTATTGCGAGCCAGTGTCCTGGAGATAGCTCTTGGGGGTGTCTGTTGCCCCCAAGTGGAGGTTCTTCCTTCCCCCCATCTCAGCGCCTCCGCCCACCCAGTCATCCTCCTCTGTTCCTTCCCCGCTTGCTGCTTTAACGCAGGTTTGATGAGGATGGTGTGCGCTCAGTAATACCCTTTCCACGTGTCGGCAGGTGAGTTTTGGGACGTCTCTGCAGTGGTGTAAACATCACCACCATGAGATAGAGAACAAAGCCACGCCATATAAAGTACCTGCTTGTCCCTTGCGGTCAGTCCCCTCCTCAGCCCCTGGCGACCCCTGATCGGATTTTTGCCTGAATCCAGAATATCATATAAGTGGAATCATGTGGCACATGTGTGGCCTTGTGTGTCTGGTTCTTTCCTTTAGCGTTTGAGATCGATCCACGTTGTCACACGTGCTAGTTGCTCGCCTGCTGTTCTTGGTGCCTACTCATTTCGTTCTGACTGGGCCTAAAGACCTCCCGTACCCCCACCCCCAGGACTGAAATCCCACCGTGTTCCCTGGCCTGGAGTCCCAGCCCCCGAGGCTGCCCTGCACCGGCCATCACGTGCATGCCTGGCCCCCAGGGACACCATCAGCAGATCCGTCTCTCTTGGCAACAGTGACGGCGAACAAGGTCCGGCGGGGAACAAGCAAAATACTTCGAATGGAAACCTGTCAGGGAGCTGGATTCTCAGGGAAGGACCCACACCGTGTACAGCAACTGGGGTTCGAATAATTTCCTTCAAGAAGGAAACGGGGGATTAGGATAGGGATGAAGGGTCCAGACCTCCAAAACCAGCAACAGAAGGGTACCCACATTTGTCCTAACAATGTGAGAGCTGGCTCCTCTAAACCCTGCCCTCAGCTGCTTTTTCTGGACTGTGTCTCAGCCGCGGGAATGCGAGAGTCTGAGAAGCGTGTGTCCGTGTACGCTGTCAGTGATGACAACGACACTCAGAGCCTGCAGTGAGTTCTTGTTTTCGGCAAAGGGAGGCTCACAGAGACATCTGAGTCTTAGCCAAATGGCTTCCAAATGGCGCTGAGCGGAGAGACCCAGGAGGGGCCGTCTCCTCGGGGGGATTGCAAGCCAAGCCGCAAACAGCTCTGGTTTTGACTTTGCACTTTTGATTTCATAGTGCTGCTCTGAATTTGGAATCAGAAAGTAGAGAGGACTCTCGAAAACAAAGAAGCAGTTAATGAAAGAAACTATTTCAGCCGTAAGAACTTAAAACTCAGCTTCCACAGAAGTGTAGGCTAGGACTTTCCCGCAACCCAACAGTCCACCTGGAGTCAATCCTTAACCAATCCTGGGCACGTATTAAACATTTAACTTTTAATTCATCCTCTTCCTATTTGTAAACTGTGGAAGCAAGTTGTTTTTAAAGACTAAATTCAGGCTAAAGAAAAGGCAAGCACCATTAATGGCTTTCGAAAGCTCTTTGTGTGCTTTCTAATGTGTGCATAGATGAGGACAAGGAAGGGCAGGGCTGGGTGGCTGCAGGGGGAGCCCCAACCGCCCGAGATGGCACCTGCTGGGCACAGCACCTGGCTCAGTGTGGGAAGAGAATCAAGCCAAGATGCACACGGCCTCCTAGCCCACAGCTTGCTTGACTGCTGTGCACTTATTTCTGTTTAAAATGTAATGAGGAGATTTGGAGTGTTGTTTAAAATGGAAATTTTGTTTACTTATATGTAAGAAATAACCCCTGTGGACCTGGCAGCCAGAACTCAATTAAGGGAAAGTTTATTAATTAGCCACTCTGCAGGGACTCAGAGAGCAGAGTGTGCTGCTGTTAACTGGCCATTCAAAGCTTGGATGATGGATTCAGAGGTCTCGGGGGCAAGAACTAATCACCCCACGTGTCGTGCACCTGAATCTCATACATGCACAGATCCACACTGAAGTACGCAGGCAAAAGTGTGTTAACACGTTCAGTCAAGATAAGAAAGAGAATTTAATGTTGGGGTGTCACTGTTTTGCAGATAGCACTAAGATAAGCTTAAACCATTTCCCTGGTTTACAAAGTTTTTGGAGCATTAATGGGACTGATTTTTTTTGTTGTTAAGATTTTAAAATTGATTTTAAAAATATGTTTCTATTGATTTTTAGAGAGAAAGGGAGAGGGGGAGGGAGAGAGAGAAACATTGATCGGCTGCCTCCTGCATGCACCCCATTCGGGGAGCAAACCCCCAGCCTGGTACACAGGACGACTCCCAGAGACCTGAGCCACAGCAGCCAGGGGAGTGGGGCGGATTCCTCACCCGACGTGGAGCCTCCCTGCTCTGCTGAGCTGAATCTGTCGAGGCTGAGGATCCTCTTGGGAATTCCAGCCCTGGGGAGGGGACCCTAAAGTCCTTAGAGTCTAAAGGGAGATGGTACTAGTGCTGCTTCTGGGTAATATGTTCATGCTTCTGAAGTTTCAAAGTCCTGTTGATAAAGATGGTTTTCGAAAACATCACTTTGATGAGTAATCGAAGATTGCAAGCGACTGTTGTGCCAGGTCCAGAATGACACTGTGTCTCCGACTCATTCATTGGTGTTACCCCCCCGCCCCCCCCGGGGACGCCTAGAGGCCAAGGGTGGGCAGGGCCGGCTGTGCCCATGGGCTCCTGTGCCATCTCGTGGGCCCGTGGTCTGTTCCAACGATTCCCTTAATCTCGGTTTTCCTCCGACAGCCAGCCGCTCTTTCTGTATGTGTCCTGGATGGCTGGAGTCTGCTCACGCCCTCCCCGGGCTGTGTGGTCCGTGACTGTAGAAATCTGGCATTTGGGTGGCAGAGGTGGGACAGAAGATGCAGCCTGTGGCTTCTCAGGGAGGCATGGCCGGGCCTCTGCGTCCGTCAGGGCGAAGCCCTGTGCAGTAAGGACAGCCTCGGGGGGTCTGCCACAGGGCCCCCCCTCCTGCTTGGTCAGTGATGGAAGAGCAGTTTTAGATTCTTAGATTTTTGAAATATAACGTTTAAGTTCCTTGGCCAGGAGACAGTCTTGTAAACCGTGTGGCCTGGAACCCCCACAGTAGCCTGGCTTGTCCTCCGCCACCTTCCTCAGGGCGGCAGTTCCGGACCCCCTGAAACAGCGTGTCCCTGCCGTACCACCCCGCAGGTACCCCAGCGGGTGACCAGCTTCCACCGAAGGAGAAGAAAGTCCCCTGTGTCACCTCAGCCGCTTTCTTCCTAGCTTCAGCATCTCCGTGTCCCCCCTCCTTTCCCGTAGGTCTGCGTCCTCCGGGCTCCCCAACGTCCTTATCTGTCCCCTTCTCCTCCTCTGGCACCTCACCCATCGGGACCCATCAATCATCTTTTCAGACTTTTCTCCATCACTTCTACCACCAAGGGCAGGGCTGCTTCCTTTTGGAAAGAAGGGAAGGGACAATGACATCAACAAGAAAAACAAACAAAAACCCAACCTGGTCTGTACCTCACCGCCCCCCTTGAGCTGCCTCCTCCCTCAAGCCTTTCGGAGGGTCTGCAGGGTGCGATCTTTCTCTCCAGGCGCAGGCTGGGGGACGGTGAGCCATGGCCTCCTTCCACCTCGTGACTTGTCCACGTCTCGCTAGACTGCAGGCTCCCTGCGGCCCGCGTGCCCTGTCTGTCCCCCACAGGCCTCCGAGTGCCCCGTACATCGGTGCTCGTCCTCAGGTTGAAGCCCATGGGCAGTGCGCTGTGTTCGGAATGAAGACATCGCTCTCTCGTCTAGTTTAGCAGCTGCAGGAAGAGGGAGACCATCCGGTCACCCTCAGACAAGCAGAGGGTGTGAGTTCAGAGACGCCTTTTCTGCAACACAGTGGGCGTTGGTCAGTTAGTTGAGAGAATTAGTTGAATGAAATGATACACGCATGTCGTAAACATGTTGTTTCAGCTCAGGACATACACGCGTGTATGCAGTCCTCGGTCTTCTGGTACAGGCGTGGCTTTCTCTTTGATTTTCATTTTCAGGTTCTGACTTTCATAAACCACATTTATATTAACAGTCCGGTGTTTGCTTTAAGTTTCTTCTCAGTGAATCCGGAATTTAAAATACATTTGTGTAGCCAACTGGGTATAGACTTTTTCTAGATTAACATTTTTTCCACTCTGTAATTTCTCATTCACGCCTATTTTAGCATCTTTGAAAAAAACAAAACTCATTTTTATCACCTTTCCAAAGCATTGGATTTAGTTTAGAAACATTAACTGTTTTTACACAATCAAATATTATTGGTTTGCATAATATTTGGTTATATTTTTATCTATAATACCAAGTAAAAGAGGCACAATTAGATTTAGGAAGCAACCTGGCTGACCTTTAGCTCATTTTGGGGGGAGCAAAAGTGCACACACTCAGGAGAGGACAGGCAGCACTGACCACCAGGGCGCCGTGGTCCCCGTGGAGGGCACTGGTTAACCGGCCAGGTGGCAGGCAGCGGGAATCACCTGAACAGCTTTGCCGCGACTCCCAGTGCCCGCCCCACTCCCGACCAATCAAATCAGAGCGCCTGGGAGCGGAGCCAGCATCCCTGTTATTCCTAAAATCCTGCCGGGCAGCAGAGCCGGGAACCACTAGGTTATGGGATGGTGAGCTTAAAGAGCTCCATGCTTTTTATAGCTCGCTCTGGGCTTTCATCTTATATTCCGCATCAATTTTTCTATGAGATCTTAGACAATTTATTTAACATCTGCAAACCTCATTTTCCGCATCCATGAAATGGAGCCGATTCTAGCATTTCAGGATCCTTGTAGGAACTGAGTGATGATTGGAGAATTTAGCATGTCCTGGCACCTGCCAGGTTCTCAATGAACACCTGGGGCATGGCTCAGGAGTTGGTGGAATTAGTATGTTGCTTCCTGTGGGGAGAGTAAAGCATGTGAGTAATTTGGTTTGGCCAAAGTCTAGACTTAAAATATGCACATTGGAATATAAGTAAAGGATGACTCAAGGCAGAGGAGTTATGTACCTTTAACTCTGCCGCTGTGACCTCAGAAATCCGAAAAGTCCATGCAGAACCTGCTTAACTGCTATTATCACCCACTTCGCTCACTGGTTCCGGAACTGGTTCCCCCCAGCCACCTGCTGTAACGTCCGTTCTTGATACTAGCAAATGCACTTGCTCACTCGTACCCTGCCAGATCACACGCCAGGCGCGAAGTCCGGACTCTGCCACAGAAGCCCTGGTGGGTACAGCGCGGTGTCGATTTTCCATTGTCTCAGTGTGACTCTCACTTTGAGTCATGCAGCTGTAATTACAGGTATTTCATATTATTATTCTTCAGCACAGTTTAAACTGTGCCTTTGTTCTCTGTGTTCTGTTTTACTACATGCACATTACGCGTTTTATTCCATTACATCAAATGGTCTGAGGGTCCAAGTTGGTCTGTCTGTTGCCCTTTAATCTGCGGTGCACGTGGCATAGCTGGGCTTCTCCTGTCTGTATAATTAGGTTGCAAAACAGATGATATTTTGCTTTAAAAATAACTATTTCCCTAGCACGCCGCCATGACCTGATCTTGCACGATGCCAAATGGAATAAGAGAGAAGTAACATCTTATGTCTTCCCTTTTCGGGATTTTTTACTGGGGATAGTGGGAGGTAAGCAGAATACCACGTCCTTGCTCAGCAAGGCTCTTTGCTGTAGATATTCCGGCGTAACTGGGGAGCCTGGGTACAAACGCTGTGCTTGCCGCAAGCACCACTTTATTTTTTCTCAGTTTTAGGTGGAAATCGAGGAGGAGTGGGGTAGGGACAAGGTTAGGGTTAAGACAGTGGTGCCCGGATGTTCTCATCCTACAGCGTGAGTCATCCGGCTCCCCAGTCAGCACTGTTGCGGCTCTGCCTGCAGATATGTGGGTGCTCAGACCCTGCCCGTGTGCCCTGGCACCTCCACCAGCACCCAGATACCCGCACCCCACCCTGCGTGAGCTTCCTCACCAGCCCTTTCCACCTTGCCCCAAACGGCCTGGCGCCCACACCGGCTTTGGAGAGCTTCGCTGTCTCCCTGGTTGCACTCCCTCCATCAGAACAGGGAAGGCAGCGGAACCAGGGTCAGGTAGGGTGTGCGCTGGCCGCCTGGCAGGGTCAGGACCAGAGGCCTGAGGGCAGGGGTCTCTGCCGCCCGGGGAGCGCGGGGGAGGAAAGAGATGGTCTGGGAGCTGGGGTGCTGTGTGGAGGCCACACTGTCCGGGGAGAGGGTCCTGGGACCGGCAGCCCGGAAGCTCCCGCTGTCTCAGGAACTGAAGGTCACCCGTGGAGGTCTTGAAGGTTGGAATCCTGGCTCCTCCGCGGACACGTGGCTGATTCGTGGTCCACCGTTAGCCAGTCCATTGCCCCACCGAGGACATTAGCTCTGTTTCACTTTCATTGGTTCAGGTAGATCCGTCTGGTCCCTGTCGCAGCATCTGGGCCTGAAGCAGGGGTACTCACGGCGAGTTTCTTCACTTCTCTAAGCTTTTGTTTTCTCATCTATAAAAAAAAAAGGATGAGGACATTTAGCTTGCGGTCCTACCGTGGGAACTGACGAGACATGTCTGCAGGGCACCTGGCGCAGGGCGCTCGGCAGGTGTGTGGCACCTGCCCCGTCTCTCACCTGGCTGCTGCTGCCTTCTGATTGCACTTGGGTTCTCCACCTGATGAGCTGCAGGCCAGGGTCTCTGTGGTGAGCCACCATAATCACTCTGGGCCGTTCTGGTTTCAACTTGATCAGTCTCAGAGTCCTGCTTCCCAAAGGACATGTCGGTACACACTGTGTTCTCTTGTTATCGGGCGTTTACTGTCTCTGCAGTTTCATCGTTCAGCCTACAGGATTGCTCGTTTAATTAAGGGGTGAATCGGTCGATGTTAGAAGGTCAGTGACGTGTGTGGGACGGATTTAAGAGAGTTGTGGCATGTGGAACCCCAACATGCTTTTGTTGGGGTTTCCTACTAGATCATGAGCCTCAACCTCTTACTTTCTGTTCCCCCCTCCGGTTTCCCAAGGAGCCACGTGAAGAGCAGAGGCGTGTTTTCCAGAACCTAACCCTTCTCTCCTCTTGTCCGGCAGTGTCGGGGGGCCGCAGCCGCCTGCACCTCATCGACCTGGGCAGCTGTGTGAAGGCGCTGAGCAAGAACCGGGACTGCGGCGCGGGGCTGTGCCTGTCGCTGTCCGCCCTGGGCAATGTCATCCTGGCTCTCGTCAACGGCAGCAAACACATCCCGTACAAGTAAGCGGCTTCTGCTCGGAGATCGGGGTGGGGTGCCAGGGCTGGGGCGCACGTTAGTCCCGTCCAGAAGCCGCCTCGGCTAAGGGTGGGATGCGGGACCTTCCACATTCCAGAGCGGGACGTCTGTCCCCGCCCAGCCTCCCGCCGCTGGGTCGGAGGAAACAAGACGTGGTCCCCGTTAAGGTCTCCGGTCACACTTGCCACTGGTGTTGAACCGTGTACAGACGTCTCCGTTTCACGGTGATGAGAGCCGGCGTTTGGCTTACCGTCTCGTAGGACAGGGCCGCTGGATGTAACCGAGGAAACTGCAGGGTATCAAGTTAAATTTAAAACCCAGATAAACAACAAATGATTTTTAGTTAAGTGTGTCCCCCGGTATTGCACAAGATAAATGGGAATTCTGTATTTTATCTGAAAATCCTACTTGGGAGAACTTATAAAATTTAGGGGGTTAACCACCCACCATCCCGCGCAAATGTGTTTTCCACTTTCAAGATACTCTTCCTCTTTCGGAACCTTCACTTGTCATAAACCGAGGGCTATAGCTGGATGTCTGGTCTGCATCACAGGGATACGAGTCTCGGGATGATAGAATGTGTGGGAAGTTTTTGTACAATTTAGAACACTATAACCCATAACCGATGAGAATAACCTGGGTGAGGCTGTCCTCATCTGTTGACATGGAAATTAGTTCGGCTGGTGTGGCTCAGTGCTTGAGCGTCGACCTGCACCAAGAGGTCTCTGGTCATTCGATTCCCGGTCACGACACGTGCCCAGGTTTGGGCCGATCCCCAGTGGGGGCATGCGGGAGGCGGCCAGTCGATGTTCTCTCTCATTGATGTTTCTCTCTCTCTCTCTAAAATCAATAAAGGAAAAAAAATGTGGTTTTTTTTTTAACGGAAATTAAACCTGCCTTACAGGGTTGCCTTGAGGATTAAGCAGATATGCATGGAGTCATTTTTTAAATCTGTAAAATCCTCAGTTACTGTTGGGTGGGAGGGAAAGGTAAGCCTGGTGGTTTGGTCTACAGTAACTGAGATTCGGGACAAGACCTCGGGTTCCCTCTCCCCTCCGCCCGAACTTGGTGCCAACACTCTGCTTTTATTCTCCACTGGGAGGCTCGTTGCTGGACTTAAGTTAGGAGCCTAAAGGAAGATTATAATTCTGTCTCAATTCTCGAAATTGGGAATCCTAGTTGGATAAACCTAGAAGAGGTTTTCCCAGGCCTTTCTTATGAGAAAAAATTTCAAGTTGAAGGTTTATGAAGTTTCATTCCGTATTACTTCTGCAGTTGAATACGCTCAACTTGTAATTATAAGAAAAGGAAGGGAGGGAGGGAGGGAGGGAGGGAGGGAGGGAGGGAGGGAGGGAGGGAGGGAGGGAGGAGGGGGGTAAGGAAAGAAGGGTCTGCATTGATACTGTCAGGGCTGGAATCTTAGAAAGTAAAGAGTTATTGGCCTAGTTGGTCTCCTGTCCATAACAACGGAAACGTATCTATTAGTGTGGTAACTCAAAAGATACTAATGTAGAAAAATTTCAGAATACCACCCTATGAGGTCACTGGTGAAGCGTTTTGTCTATTTACTCTCACATTGCTTCTGTCGAGGGACATGCTTTTAAGATTTCAATAACCAGTTTTTGAATGGATGCTGGGAAGGATGGACAAATGTAACAATCTGAAATTTCTTTTGCTTTAGGTAAAGTAACTTTCCGTTCGAGTCGGGTTCTATTATAAACATATGGGGAAACATGGAGAATTGTTATTACTAGTTCGAGGTTTTTTGTTGAATTAAGCATGTTTAACATCAGCTGGCCAGAATGACCAGCCACCTGTTCCTTGGGAGGGTGGACAGAGTGTGAAACCTCCAGCCGCCGCTCTGCAGACGTCTGTCTGGCTCAGTTCCTTGCATCTCGGCTCTGAGGAAGTGATGGTTAACGTGTTCCCAAGCCCAAAGCAGGCACAGACTCACCATAAATACAGTGTCTGAGCCATACACAGTCACAGCACTGTCCCCAGCCACCAGGACCCTCCTGGAGATCTCACGGGGCGCCCCCTGCTGTAACCGTGGCTGGGACTCTCAGCCAAGCATGTAGTCAATATTTGGTGTCTGCAAAGCGAGTAATCAACTAGAAATGATCCTCTTCCGAGGTGCAGGAAGACAAAGCGAAGATGTGCTCAAATCACAGGGCCTCGGAGACCTTGGCAGTTCTGAGCCGAAGCTGCCAATCCGATCACTCCTCACTCCCCACACCTCCCGCTGGGTGACCCGTTAGCTGCCTCCGCTCTGCTCAGCAGGTGGCCCAGCTCCTTTTGTCAATTCACTGGGGCTGCAACCACATTATGCAGCGTTTCCTTAGCATACTAAACGCCTTCAAGGTGGCAAACCTCCTCTTTGCAAGAAGTTCATTAGAGGGGAGTTTTCCTGCCCTTGTGTCTCCTGCCAGGTCCTGCTCTCTCCCAGGAGGACAGAAAACTGAGCTCCACCTGTGTGACCCGACCCCACCCTCCGAAACACACAGAACTCACTGCGTCTGTTCGTCACCCTAGACGACTCTTGCTTGGACCCGGCATTGCTTGCGTTTGCGTCTGGGCAGTCACCAGCGTGTGCGCAGAGGGCATGTAGCCTGTCTCCGTTTCTCTTCATCCCCGGACCAGACCGTTTGTCATGTGAGCTTGGGTTCATTGGCCAGCCCAGGTGCTCCCACGGACACCTTAGGTGTGCCCGAATGGTTTTGACTCTGCAGGAGGTACTGCCTTTGTGTACGACAGGTGCAGGCGCAGCCGGGTTCCCAGCCTCGGCCATTGCCCCTCACCGGTCCCCGGCCAATCTGAGCACCAGAAATCAATCCTAAGTGGCGAGACCCTGCAGAAAGGCATGCAGGGAGGCAGGGAGACCACCGAGGGCGCCAGCATCCTAGTCAGTCTTGCACTGACAGGCTGCGCAACTGACTGAATTTGGGGACCCTTTCGTCTGGGGAAGCCTGCTGGTCTGAGCATTTTCACAGCATAGTTGCCAGTTTCGTTCCATCGCTCACGCAGCCAAATGCTTGCTGTTCCTCACCACTTCCTGGGCACCAAGATAGGGGGCTCCCCACCTGATAGATAGAAAATATAAGCAGAGACATTAAAACAAATTCCCATCCCAGAAGCTAGGACCGCAGGCACACACCCCTGGAACCATCCCCAGAGGGGCCACCACCCGATCTCACTGTAGACTGAGCTCTGGCCGAGGCTCTGTTTGTCCCAGACCACAGTCTTCAGAAGCTGGGAAGTTTTCACCACCACCCAGTTTTCTCAAAGTAGAATTTTCGGTCCCTTTGAGATGTTGTCTTGTGAGGGGAACAGACCCTTAAGAAGTGTACCCTTCCCATGGTGATACTTTAAGCTCTGAAACGTACCTTCATTTATAACCGTTACTCCATTTGGAGAAATAATTAATGCATCAGATGATCTATCTGCTTGTTTGACAAGGTGCTCGTACTGTTTCTAAACTACAGGTGTTTTTAAATGTCTTGGCTTGCATTTCCGAGGTCGTGGAGAAGCCCTCCGGGACGCGGTCGTGGTGTGGCCCTGGAGCGCTCCGCCCAAGCCCACCTGGGCCATGGCTGCGCAGAACAGCCCCGCGGCGAGCGAGGCTCGGTGCTGCTTTCGCGGTTCGGTCTGTGGCTGAGACCAAGACCGATCCTCCTCTGTTGGAATCGGTCACTGGCTGTGCTGGCTCCTCCTGGGGAAGCAGGTGGGGCCGAGGTGGTCTGTGACCACAGGCTTCGGACCGCAGGGCCTCTCCCGGAGCCGCTGCTGTAGGGTCCGCTGCGTCTGGAATGGGGGCGCCCTTGTCCCTCGCGCCCTGGTGAGGAGGAGTCGGGGACCAAGGTCATGTTTGAGAACCTGGGCGCCTCGGAGCCCAGCAGTGCGTTCGCACCAGCAAGCAGCACTAGAAACGCAAATTCACGTATGCGACTTGTGGAGACATGACGTGTTAAAATAGAGGCGGCTTTTAAAAACGTGAACAGCTCTGCTCTCCCTGAGCGTGTGAGCTCTCCAGGCGGCGGGCGGTGCCCGGGCAGCAGGTCTGCGATTCAGAAGGAGCTCAGCGTGCGTCTGAGCACAGGCATCCTGTCCTTGCCTGGAGACGTTTCTCCTCCTGGCCCTGAAAAATCTTGTAAACATTTTTATTGATTGATTTTTAGAGGGAGAGAAGCATGGATTTGTTGTTCCACTTATTTATGCATTCATTGGTTGCTTCTGGTATGTGCCCTGACCGGGGATCCAACCGCCAACCTTAGCGCATCCGGACCACACTCTGACCAACGAGCTACCGGCCAGGTTCCTAGTACCATTTAGATACTGGGGTTCTCTGATTTCTCAGAACTGGAGACCTACTCAAGGTCTGGGAAGCCAGAAGGAGGAGCTAATGGTTGGTATTAGCTACAATGTTCAGTTCTGGCTCACATAGGAAATGAAAGGCTTTTTTCCCCTCTGGATTTGAATATATATTATTTATGCTTAACATGGAATCAAATAGATATTTTCCAGAAAAAAATTCACAGGAATATCAATGCTGCAGATTTACTTAAGAAGGCATGTAACAGAGAGGAGCTCTAAGACTGTGTGTGTGTGTGAGAGAGAGAGAGAGAGAGACAGAGAGAGAGACAGACACACACATAGGTGTATTTAGCAACCTTTACATGCACACAAATGCTGTATTATCTCCTCCTTATTTACAGGGAGCACATCAATTTAGAACTATTTGCACAGACTCCGGATCCCAGTTTATAGCATTCCCTGTTTAGAAATAAAATAACCAAAGTCTCCGGTTGCCAAGCAACCGCAGCAATGATAATTCTTAGTATTGCTGCTTCAAAAATACTCATCTTTATACATTTTAATGACTGGAAGGATGCAGAGAAAGTGAGTTCAGAAAATCGTCGGGACAGAGAAACCCCCGACGGAGGAGGTTTTCGCAGCCTTCCCTTCTTTATCCTCCCCTCCTCCCTCC